GGGGGCCGGGGCGGGGGGGGAGGGAGGCGCGGGCAGCCCCTTCCAAACCATGAGCCTTTACTCATTGACCGGACAGAGCAGGCAGAGTCATAAGGCTGACAGCCCAGGCTCTGACTGGATATGGGGACACAGCATGGGGAGAGGGGCAACCCAGGAGGTGGCAGGAGTCCAACCTGACCCTCCATTTCCCCATATCTGAACCCTGCACATTCCCCTTTCTCAACCAGCAGCAGCCCTATGGAGTTAAGCTCCCTCTTCCCCTCACTGCCCATCAGCCCATCAAGAGCAGCTCCATCAGGCATGTCAGTCACACGAAGGAGAGCCCATGGGAAGGAGATGTTTTGGTCCCAGGGGCCAGTTGCAGGTACCACAACGGTGGTCAGACAGTTCATCTGAAGGACTGTCAAAACATGTCTTTACTGGCACATGCATGTCATCCCAGGTTAAAAAAAAAAAAAAAAGGCTGGAGAAGAGGGTTGTCAATTGCCCCACCTTCCAGCAGTATGCTCCTCATCGAGGAGAGCCTTCGGGCTGCACCGGGCACCAGCATCCCACTGTGCAGGAGAGGCAGTGGCTGCTGGAGGCTGCGCTGATCCCACAGGCTGCAGGATGGGGATCTCTTAAAGAGGGCCAGCACCAGCTGCACCTCACAAAAGGGAGACGAGCACCAGCACCCACAGAGGGCGTCACAGACCAACACAGGGGTCCAGCTAGGCCTAGCTGAGACCGTGCTACCTATATAGGATGGGGAGGATGGAAAGCAGCAACCCAAAGCCTTGCTCTGGGAGCACGCCACCTCTCAGGTGTGCTTCCTCAGGGCTGCCAGGGGCTGGAAAGGCTTAGTCCGAGCTCCTCCATGAAGAGTCATAGGGACAGGGCTTTCACACAAAAAACAGGGAGGAACCAGATCAGGTGGGAGCTGTCACAGGTCAGGCAGCCCCTGCAAACCACAATTTATTGGTTGTTCGGACACAGCAGCACAGCTGTCAGGGCAGCGCGGTTGGGCCAAATTCAAGCAGAGGGTGGGGTCTAGATGGATATGAGGATACGGAGCAGGCAAAGAGGGGTTGGGACCCAGTGAGCTGCTTTGGTCTCAGAGGACAGTTGCAGGCACCAGGATGCGGGTGAGATGGCTTTGCCACTGCACTGGAAGATTACCCGAACACGTCCTTGCTGGCACAAGCAGTTCATCCCAGGCCTTGGGCTGCTCCTGCTCTGTGACAGAGGATGCTGGAGCTTGATGGGGGAGAAAATTTGAGGGGGAGCAATAACTCAGCACAAGCTACATGAGGTCCTGTTTCCAGCGGCGGAGGAGCAAGCCTTAGGAAGGGTCTCTGGGAAGCTCCATCAGTACCGAGCCTTGGACGTCCAACCCATCTTCTCTCCCTCACTGCTCTGACGGTCTCCTGAGGGCTCCAGGACAGGCAAGGGCTGGGGCAACATCTCTCCAGCCTGGCCATCTTTACCTGTGGAGACCCAGGGCGGAGGCTGCTGCGTGCCCTCAGCAGCGCGCAGAACTCACACCATCACAACTGCCGCTCTCCAGCCTCTCCCTGCCATGTGTGGGAACACAGGCAAGGCAATCCATCTCCTACCTGCACCTTCCTCTGCCAGAAGCGTCTCCTTGACCACACAGTAATTATCCAAGTTCTCATAGGTCTGGAGCTCTGGGGGGACAAGATGACAGAAAGAGCCTGAGGGACGCCAGGGCCACGGGAGAAGGAGGGCAGACCCAGGCGAGCAGCAGCGCTGGGGGACGCAGGGCGCCCCGGGACACACAGCAGCAGGGCAAGCGGGGCCGGAGAGACGTGCTGCCTCCCCGGGGCAGGGCGAGCATGGGTGCAGCTCCCACCTAGCACCACGGGGGAACCCCAGCCACGGAGCTGCTGGGGGAGGCAGCCGGAGGAGGCTCTTGGCCGGGGATGGTGGCGTGGGACACGCTGCTCTGGCAGGTCAGGCAGAGCCAGGTGGGCTGCCAGACGTCATGCCAGGATGGCAACAGGCTCTCCTGCAACAGACCTGCTCCCTGCCCAGCTCCAAGCCCCACCACCGTCTCTGTGGTGGGGACCTTACCTGTGTAATGATCCTCCTCAGCTTTGCTGGGCAAGGCCGCCCTTTTCCTGGGGAGGCAAAGGGCAGTCCTGAGTCGGGGGAGAGGCTGGCATGGCCCAGGGCCCTGCTGA